TAATCGTGCTTAGCTCTACTAGTCATTCTCATCCTTTGCTCATGCTCAATTTTGTTGGTCACACTCATCTCAGCTCCACTTGACCACCCAAGCCGAGTTACGGTCAAGTGGATATATATCTCCATCAGAAATCAACTGATCAAAGAGTGAAAAGACCTCACAATGGTTTTTCTACTTTTTCTTGGATAGAAAGTAGCATTAAATTTCTCAAAATAGTTCCATGAGATGTACAGGTTTGTTAATTGTTTGGCATGTATGGTCCCAAAAAAAAGTGTTTGGGATGTGAGGTTCATGTTTTGAGCCACAATCCTTTTTAGCAATAAATTTTACCTGCCACAATAACAGTGAAATTTCTCTACTCATTTCATAAGCTTAATTTGTCAGCAAAGATTTCTTAGTTTTGGTAGTGGAGAGATTTTCCTCTGCAATAGTGACAAAAAAACTTCTCAATTCATTTAAGCTTAAAGAATTTATGAATAGAGAAATTCCTCTCTTATCAACAAAGAGATTTCTCTCTTTTGGTAGTCGTAACAAGAGCGATAGTAGGATACTAGAAATACAACTATATACCTACTATTTCAGTCGTAAAATGAGCCTTCTTAAGGATATTAGGTATGAAATCGGTGAAGTAAGGACCTATCATCACATATTTCTATATTGAACAATCTCTTGCCGAAGCTCATTTTTTTTAGCTTTTATTTTTTCGTCTTATAAAATCATTATTATAACCTCATTTTAATTGGTGAGGGTCATCCATTATCCAAATCGTACTTTAGACATCGCGGACGCAAGCAATCCCAATCTAGAATATGTATATATATATATATATATGAAAAATAGGGTTCGTTTGGAAAGAATTTTTTTAATTTGACTTTTTAGTTTTTTAGCATATTTTAGGAAGTAAGTTAAAAGTTGACTTTTTGATTTTTTTTTTTTATAAAAAAAGTGCAAAAAAGTAGATAAATAATGTGATAAAAAAAAAAGGCAAGAAGTCAAAAAGTTGGTTTTTAACCATGTTGCCAAAACTTGGCTAAATTAGTTTCGTTTGGGAAAAACTCTTCAATTTTTTTGATTTTTTTATGAGAGAAAAAGTCAAATGATTATAGTTTGGATGTGAAATTTTATCTTATTAACTTATTTAGCCTATTTTTATCTTTTTATATTTTTTTGATCCCAACTTAACCTTAACTCACTCGCCAAACGATAGCATAATTTGAGAGCATTATTGTGGCATGTGTAAGAGACACTCCCGATCAATGAAATTGCACTAAAATAAAATGGGTGAGGCTAGTCTTGTCTCTTATTCAACCAACCAAAATAAGTCAGGTCAACTCTAACCATTTTGTATGTTTTGATGCTGAGTATTATGTCAACGTACTGAGTTTGTACCTAACATTTAATTTTTTTTTATTGTTTTAAAATTGGAAATGGTAATCATCTTTCTTAGTTATGACTTTCAAAGAAAAATTTTCAGTGACAATAATGGGGAGAGAGGGGGGTTTGAACTTGCATGTGTGTTGAGTTAAGGAAGGTTGGAAAAGAGAAAAGGAGAGTAAAAACAGAATTGAATAGTAAGCCCAAAACAGAGAATGGCAACAGAAGATGGCATTAAGTGAAAAGAGACTGAAAGTTAAAGGCAAAGAGAAATAAATAAACAAATAGTACTTAAAAATAAATAGGTTGTGAAGAAAATCAACAAAGACGAAAGAGGGGAGAGAGAGAGAGATAGGGGCCAAAGGGGGTGAGTGAATTAAATTTGGTATTTATAATCTGACGTAATAGGGCCTCATTATTCTCAACTGTCTCAATTACTATTGCATTTATTTGTTTTTAATGGTCTCGCAATCTACTATTGCCCCTTTTCTTTAAAAAAAAACCTTTTATTTATTTATTTTTCAATGCTCGAACCATCCAACCCAACCCACATCACTCTCGCTAAAAAAAGAAAAAAAAAGAAAAGAAAAGAAAAGAAAAAAAAGCCCACTTCACTGTCTTCCATCATCTTTAGGATTAATGACACTAAAATTACATTAAAAAAATTACACTAAAATTTTCTGAGCTATTGGTGAATATCACTCTGTCCATTCATCTATAAATTTATATATATTGATTTTCTCAATTATGAAATCATACAAATATACTCATTTTAGAGATGGTCTAAGAGAGTTTACAGGAGTAAAAATGATATACTTTTATAAATGAGAAGTTAAAATTGTATTCACTAATAATTGAGGGGTCATAGTGTAAATAACCCCATCTTTTATTCTTTCTCACATTTACTTCTCTCTTCTTAACCCTGACCATCCTTTTTTGGCACAAATAACCCTTAAACCATTCACTTTATTGTGTTCGCTAAGCAATTGGTGCATGCAATTGATTGGGCATCGATAATCGATGATTGAATTACATATTTAAAAAAAAAAATTTAATTTCAAAATCATATAAGTTGCATATTTTTTTTATTATAAAACAAATGTCATTTTATCATATAATTATTAATATTTAATGAACTTTTTTTTTGTGTGTGTACATATAATCTACTAAACAAGTCTAATGATTCAGATCATAAAAATAGACTCGAGACAAACACACCATAAGGCACAAACAGGAGTTGCTATGCCAAAAAGCAAGCTCCAATTCTAAGGCACTTGTTAACATAATCTTACCCTAGTTATTAGGGTGATACAAGTATTGATATTAAACTTATTTATTTATTTATTTTTAGAACATCTTTCATCATCCTGGAGAGAGCTGGTTTCAAGCCCTTGACTGAGCTGGCTATGAAAGAGTAAATAAACCTTGTTAAGTCTGCAGAGTTTTTATTTTTATTTTTTGCAATATGAGTATAGTTGTATTTTTATTTCTTACGTGACATTTGTCATATTAATAAATTGAATTTTACTTTACTATCCAATGTTTAATCACTTCTATTGTGTTTGGTTTATAAATTTAGATAGAGATTTAGAAAGAGAAGAAAAAAAAAAAATAAATATATATATATATATATATATAAAATATAACTATATTTTACCTATACTTCACACCTATTTTCTTTCTTTTTTCAAATGTATGAACCAAACACAAACTTAATAGAACATTAATTTGTAAAATGAATTTATTTGTGTAATATTTTTCTTTATCTATTATTACTGTATTCCATGGAAGGGAAAAAGAGAAGATCAGAGGCTGGACAGAAAGACAAAAATAAATAAATAAATAAATAAAAAGAAAGAAAGTTTCGAGATTTCGGCGACTTCAACTGATAACATGTTGGTTTTTTGTTTTTATATTTGTTCCTTGTTCAACAATGGATTGCAGCTTCCAGACCAGGTGGTTTCTATCGTGCAAAGGCTGACTACAAAAATTAATAATTTATTTCTACCCCAAAAAAAAAATAAAATTATGACACCATCATATCAATTGATATTTCACCTTCTTGCAAGTCCTCGCTCAAGCTCCAATCTTAAAAAAAATAAAATAAAATATTGTTTGGTTAATTTTTAAAATTTATTTTTTTAAAATTGTTAAAAACTAAGAACTAGTTTGGTAAAAAAATTTAAAAAAAAATAATAACATTTATTACTTTCATATAAATTTTACTTTTCTGAGTGAAAATATTTTTTTAATATTTATTTTCAAAAAATTATTTTTTTTCAAAAAAATTTAAAAATCAAACCAAATAAATGTAAATCGTGTTTGTTGGCCATTTGATTTTTGCATACCTCTCTTCTTCTTCTTTTTTGGGCATACTGTAGTGGGGATGCTACTATGCAGCAAAAGGGGCCTATTTCGGGATCCATTTTAATAATTCGAATCGTACATATTTTAGAATATATCAAGTAAAACATGCTTGCAAAAAATCAAGTTAATCGGATATCGTTTACTTATTCATCCACTCACATTTGTATTCATTTTAATATTTTAAATCATAATTATTATTTATTTTCGTATATACAAATATGAGTGGATGAATGAATAAACAATATCCGATTAACTTGATTTTTTGCAAGCATGCTTTACTTGATGTATTCTAAAATATGAACGGTTCAGATTATCAAAATAAACCCGAAAATGAGCCTATTTTGTCACACAACAGCCATTGCTACGCAACTTGTGCAGCAGCATCTCCACATCCCTTTTTCAGATCAAAGTGGCCATGATTCATATGATTTTTTAAAAAAATTACCATATGCTCTTGAGGCATCATCCCAAGAGCCAACGTGATACCATTATATCCGATGCTGAAATTTGTACCATGTCGATATTTTACATAAATATTATGTTGGATTTTTTTATTATTTGAATTTATAAATAAAAAAACAAAATCAAAAACTATTACAAAATATTTCAAACTGGACATCACATAAATGCGTGATTAACAGAAGAATTGTTGTTGGGGCAATTTATCGGACCCGGGTCAGGAGTTAAAGGAGGCCGGGTTGGGTGGGCCAATCCGTAGTTGGAGAAGTGGGTCCGAACTAGCAAATCTATACTTGCCTTTTCACAGAACTGTTATCATCTCAGGTACACCAAATATACTTTTTGTCACAAAGCTCACTCAAACTTTATTGTATTTTAAAATTTATTTTATTTGGATAATAAGTAAATTTTCTGATTATTATTTCTCTATCATATGCATCTAACAGTTAATTGACTCACCACTTGCCTAGTAACTGTTGCATGATGTGATTTGACATAGCACCAAAAGTAAGTAACAAAAACAGTGACAATGAGGAGAGGGAGAGAACACAAAATACCTAACATATTTTTTTTTAAATATGAAAATTTGGGCAGTTGCAGATAGCCCATGTACATATTGAAGATGACGTTATTCAAGCTCCACTCTTGTCCTATCCTATGCATATTTTTATCCAAAAATTTACACATTCAAAAATATTTATGGAAAAGTATTTAGAAAATGCTATGTAAATTCAAATTTGCAAAGAATTTGATTCATTTTCTAAATATATTTCTAAATATTTTTAAAAAATGCGTTTAAATTGTAATAAGTTAAAATGAAGTTCAAATAGCATAACTTTAAAAGGATAAATTAAAAAGTAAAAAAAAATTCTTAGTACACATAATCTGATCATAGAACTGAATACAATCAACGCACGCAATTAATAGAACCCACTAGATATGAGAATAGCATGTTAAGTTCTATGATCAAATTTTGTACCCAGAATAGCTAAACAAGGAAAAACAAAAGAGGGTAACATAGCTACTAGTATTGGTAGAATTAGAAACTTTAAAAAAGGGGCTGCATACTTCAGCTCCTCCTCGTCTTCTTGGTGGCGGCGGCGACGGTGGTGGTGGTGGTGGTGGTGGTGGCAGAGTTTTCATGAACGATGTCGAGCAAGACGGAGCTCTTGCACTTGGGGCATCTCGGGTCCTCCTCGGCGAGCATGACATACATGAGGCACCGAGGACAACCCACCAGCAACATGGAAGTTGCTTCGGGGCTATTCGAGTAGCGAATAGCCTCGTCTTGGTTGAGCTCCGATGACACGCACGAGCTTGGTGGTGACGTCGGTGACAACGTCAACGCCGCCGATCGTGTCGGTGATTCCGTTCGTAGGTTGTTAGCCCTCGGAGGCGACAAATTCAACTTCAAGTCGAGCTTGGGTCCGTTCCGGCGACTCATATTTGTCTCTTCCAAGCACCTCCTTTGCACAAACTTTATAACCAAAAAATAAAAAATAAAAATTACTACGATTTTAAATAACTGTATCGGAATATGTTAAAAATAAATAAATAATACTAATATATGTATACATATACCTTGAGGGGGAGAGAATAAGGCTCTTGTAATTCTAAATTTGTTGAAGGGTTATTAGTATGGAAAAGATCAAGGGTGATGGGGGTGGCTCGGTGGTGGAGGCTAGCGGTGGCAGCGATGACGACTAAGCCACGGTGGTGATGGTCATGACCACCACTACCAAGATGGTGTTTTTGATGAAGTGGTTGTGGTGGTTGGTTGTGAGCCTCTAAGGCCATTTATATAGGAGGACTCAAAGGAAGAAAAGATGGGTTCTATTTAAAGCTTAATTTAATTAGGAGGGAGAAGGTGGAGGAGGGTATGGAAGAAATATAGAGAGAGTAAAAAAAGAAGAGAGAGAGAGAGAGAGAGTTGAATTGAATTGGAATTGAATAGGATTGAAGGAGGAGTGGTAGAAGGAGAGAGGGATTGTAAATAATGATATTAATTGTTTGGGAAAAAATCCCAAGATGGGTTTTGCAGAAAAGGGAAAATTGAAGTAAATATTGCAATTACGCAAAGTGCAGGAAAGCATCCATTCATTGCTTGGAGGGTCGGTGTTATATATGTAGGTATATACCTATATTTTCAAGTACTGTATTAATTTATTTATTTATTTTTTATTTTTATTTTTGAGCTATATCCCTTTATGTTTGACTAATTTTTCTAATTTTTATTTATTTATTTTGATTCTTAAAATTTGTTTTTCTTTTATTTTGATCATTTAAATTTTAATTTTTTCTTAATTTACTTCGCAAATTTACTTATTTTCAAACTTAAGCTTTGTTTGGAGGCTTAGGATTGTAGTCAAAACATCAAAAAATTATTATAAATTGTTATATTACTCTTTCTATTTTTTATACGTCTTTTTATAAAAAGTTAAAAAGTTAACTAAAATAGTCAATTTTTGTTGGTTGAGTTAGGGCCAATGTCTTGTCGTGGCGGAGGGTCTGGGTAGAGGCCTAGTCATAATTGAACTTGTAACGCTTAGTATTGTATCCTTTAAGAGCATATTTGTTTTGAGGGATAAGGGTGTGGGATTGGACTATTAGTCCCGCCAGACTAATAGTCCATTGTTTGTTTATAAAATTTTGCTTCGGACTATTAGTCCCACAAATATGGGACTATTCTATCCCATGGGGGGTGTGGGATAGGGACTATTAGTCCCACAAATATGGGACTATTCTATCCCATGGGGGGTGTGGGATAGAGACCATGGGATTGGTATCCCATGGGATTATTTGGTGAAATGTCCATTTTACCCTCCATACTAATACTTAGTAAACAATTAGAAATGGTAAAATAGTCTTTTGAACATTTATAAATTATTTTTTTAGTGTTGTTAATTTAAAATTATATATTAAATAAAAAAATTAAATTATAAATTATAAATTAAATTTAATTAAAAATAATAAATTAAAAATTATGGCCTTGTAAATTAATTTATTTTAAAATTATAAATTAAATTTAATTGAAAATAATAAATTATAAATTATGGCCTTATAAATTAAATTTTTTAGTGTTGTTAAAAAATTAAATGTACATATTAAATTAAATTATTTTTTAGTATTGTTAATTTAAAATTATATATTAAATAAAAAATATAAATTATAAATTATAAATTAAATTTAATTGAAAATAATAAATTAAAAATTATGGCCTTATAAATTAAATTTTTTTAGTGTTGTTAAAATATAAATTATAGATTACAAATTTAAAATTATATATTAAATAAAAATTATAAATTACAAGGATAAAATAGTCTTTTGAACATTTATCCTTATCCAGTCCGTCTAACCAAACATTGGATTCATTAAAAATAGTCCAATCCAGACATCTAATCCCATGACTAAACAAACATAGGATACAAATCCAGTCCAACCAAATAGTCCGGGGACAATGTATCCCGGGACTAACAGTCCGATGGATTACAATTTCCCCTTATCCAGTCCGTCCAAACAAACGTACCCTAAGGAAATAAAGTTATGCCTTCACCACTACTTATGAGTTTTGGCGAGATGGTAAGTATTTAATCAGATAATTCTCAAATTGGGCCTTAAATAGAAAATGATTCTTTAACTGTCATGTGACATATAAAATATTTTATTATATATAACTCATATCTCTAACACAAACTTGAATCACAATATAATAATATATTTTTTATGTTATGTGACAGTTAACGTGACACTTTCTGTCTAATTTTGAATAAAAATTAGTTTTAAGAGTAAATTGAGAAAAATTTGAAATATGAAAGGTTAAAGTGAAAAAAAAAAATTAATTAAAGGCCAATATAGAAAAATGGTCAAACATAAAGGAGGTCAGGTGTAATTTATTTATTTTTTATTTATTATATATTTCCTATTTTTTATAGTTAATTATGAGTTTGACAGAACAATATAAGCGTGTGTGCATTAACACATGAAAAGTCCATATTGCTTTTAAAGCTTAAACCGAATTTCTAACAAATCCAACTACAACCACCACAAATTCTTAATTGATATATATCTTATTTCTGATATACGTCTCTCCTAGGCTTCTTTTGCATGTGAAATTAAAGGTTTATAATTAAAAGCCTCATTTATTGGCATCCAAAAGTATGGATTATTTTTTTGAATTGAGTATGGCTTCTCTGATCACATGATCACTGTACTGTTTAGTGCACTGTAGAGAAGATGAAGCTTTTTTATTTGGAACAAGTTTCTCTCTTGCCTAATAATTGAATTGAAGTCTAACTGAGAGATTGATTTAAACGGTTAATTTTGTAACGCTTGTTAAATAGATTATTTATATAAAAAAATTAAATTAATCGGATATTAACAGTCACATGATTGAAGAATAATGATATTAATAGTAATATGATTAAATTTGTTCAATCATGTGGCTATTAATGTTAGATTACTCTAATTTTTTTGTATGAATGATCTATCTAATAAATTTAAACAGTTTAAATCACTAAAATATAGTCTAGAGTTCATTCACAATCCTCAACTAGATTGTTAATATGATTAATGGACCGGAGGGAAATCTAATCCTTTTACTATTAGTTGCCCTTCTAAAAATATAATCTCAACATCACTTAATCAAGGCAACCTTAAGTGATTGGAAATGATGTTATCTATCTATATTGATAAAAATAATGTGATTTTGATACTTTTAACTACAACCAACTAAGACGTGTCTCACATTTATAACGCCTATGCATCATGAGGAGGCCGATATCTCAAGTGACAAACTATTATTGATCAAAACTTAACATAACTATTCTCTTCACACGGTGACAATTTTTTTAAGAAGATATAGTGATATATAGAAGGGAGTCACCGCAGAAAATGATCAAATAATCTTTCTATAGACCCTAGTCTCCATTGTCCTCACTTTCAAGCTTTCTACTATTTTGTGTTCTCACCAAAGCATGCTATCTATACATGAAATTTCATACCCTATAGGCCTCATTTGATAAGTGACTTTTTTAGTTAAAAGTCAAAAAGTCACTAAAAAAATCAAAAAGCCAACAACCTATATTAAAAAGCCAAAAATTTCATTCTCTCTACTTTTTGCACATTTTTTCGTAAAAAATCAAAAAGTCATCCAAAACCTACTAATTTTTTTTATATTATATTTTAATCAAAAAATTAAAAATTACTAAAAAAATCTACTCCCAACTCTTCGAAGGAGGAAGAAAATTGGTACAAGTAAAAAATATTAGTTGAACAAATGCGCACATACAGGAGATAGTGAAATGTCAACACTCAACAAATATGTGTGTTTTGAAAAGCCAGTATTTTGACTCTTGTAATTAATTTAGCGTGTTATTATTCTTCTAGCTTCCCCTAAAGGTTTTTCATTTAGGCATATGAGTCATCCTACTGTCAAAATTTGGCACCCCAAATCATTGCCTTAACATATGGTCTGATTATGTTCTCTTTCTCTGATTTTGGCATTAGTATACCCTATAGGGTAGGGCACTATTTAGATATCCCTTTGAAAATAGACATTCTTTTATAATTGTGTTAAAGAATATACCAGAGTTTCACATAATATGATGTGGGATAAATTCTTTGTCTAACATATGTGTCCTATTTTATAATTTTTTTTTTCTTTTTACATTTATCTTTTTTTTTCATTATTTTGTATTCTACTCATATGATTAGTGCTTAGTTTGTTTTGATAAATTAAAAAAAAAAAAAAGTTTATTTGTATTCATTACAACAAATTAAGATTTTAGAGATAAAATTTATGAATAATTTTTTTCTTAGTGATAAAATATTTTAAATGTTAAAAATATCATTATTGCTTTTTTAACAATGAAATTGAATATTTAGTTATAAATTACTTTTTCTTTGGAACCAAAATTTTCATTTAAAAAATTAAACTTTTTTAGCATGACCTTGTTTTGTTTCTAAAAATGTATTTATTAGTGATATTTTTAAAATTTTGTCACTAAATTTTTTTCTTAACTTTTCGAGATAACTTTTTAATGTTGACTCTCATATCAACCGAAATTGATCTCCTAATATTTTTTAGGGTGAATTACATCAACAGTTCTTATAGTTTGGAGCTTGTGTCACTTTGATCCATGACTTTTCAATTGTGACAGATTTGACCATGAATTTTGAATTTTGTTCCAAATAAGGACAATTAGAGATATCATTGCTCAATTTCAAAGATAAAGTTGTCAATTTGATAAAATATAAACTAATTTAACAAAAATAAATGTCAAAAAAATATTTTTGAATTTTTAAAAATTATTTCTACCCACCAAAGATAAAATTATATAAAATTGATAAATCTTTTACACATTTATTTATTTATTTTACCAAATTAATTTTTATTATGTGTTTGGATAATGATCATGTAATGGGCGATTGTTTTTATTTTCATTAAATTAGTTTTTATTTTTTCAAAAGTCAACTATGCCGACAACTTTAATATCATTATTAAACCATTCCATTAAATTAAAAAGTCCAAACTAAAAAATTTCATATATTAAATATATTGATTATACATTAAAAATCACCCATTACACGATCATCATTCAAACATATAATAAAAATTAATTTAGTAAAATAAATAAATAAATAAATGTGTAAAAGATTTATCAATTTTTCATAATTTTATCTTTAGTGGATATAAATAATTTTTAAAAATCCAAAAATATTTTTTTAACATTTATTTTTGTCAAATTAGTATATATTTTATTAAATTGATGACTTTGCCCTTACAATTTAGCAATAGTATCTTCAATTGTTCTTATTTGAAATAAGATTCAAAATTCAGAATCAAATGTATAACAATTGAAAAGTCAGAAACCAAAATAACACGAACTCAAAACTATGCAAACTGTTAATATAATTCGCCCTATTTTTTAATAAAATTTTTACTTTTAAAA